GCTAAAGTTTCGTCGGAACGAATTTACGGGAAATCAATTAACAAACGGAGATGTAACAATACGTATTTCTACTAAACAATGCCTACCATCCTCCACCCTTAAATGTTCTATAAAATCCTGTGCTGATGAACCTTGAATAGGCAAAACTGCAGTCCACAGCAGAGGGTACAGCCAATAAAAGAATGCATTAGGCCTCTACATCACATATTCACTTTCACCTCTGGTGAAAAAGAAATCTTTAACATAGATATACAATCATTAACAGTTGCTCCTTGTATAATACTGAATTCAATGAAATGTTATAACTTAGGTATAACATACTTAAGTTAATTCAGGTTTCAATATGGTGAAGTAAAATGGACTCCAAACACCACAGACAGAATGACAAACTCTTTCTGTTAGATAACCAGGGTATACTTACCACTAAAGAGGATCATAAACCCACTTTATTTACCTTTTTAAGCTTTTATTCCTTTTATTTTTAAAGAAAATCAGGTTAAAACCCTGCTATACAGAGCACAAAACATATAAGGAAATTGAAACCTTTTTGTAGCAGAAGGTGAGCATTTCATAGAGGTTTTTCACTCATTATAGAGCTGTGAGAAAATTTAGTAAAATTACAAATGATGACCAAGAAAGTGAGCTAAAACAACATTTTATAAAACAGAAATGCTATTTTTACCATATATCCCAAATTTATCATGTCAACTTCTTTTGAAAGTTTAAAAAACAAAATTAAAATCATATTCTGATTTATAAACCACTGAATAAAATTAGTCAAATATTAAATAAAACTAAAGATGTAATGAAGAAAATGGATAAATGCAAAGTGGGAATGTGGTTCTGTATACATTTGGTTAAATTAAAAGAAGTTTAAAATCTAAAATAAACAAACATAAGAGCAATGTTAAAAATAATAAAAATGAAAACTTTGCCCTGGCTAAACATATAAGACATACTGGCCACATCATTCAGTTTGCTTGTTTGTAGTTAAGGTAAGTAATAAGCTGTCTGCACTGTGCCCACCAAAAAGTACCAAAATCTTGTTTTTAGTGTTTTGAGCCTTCAGACTTACTGCTGAGCAGCTGGGAACTCATTCAGTGGGAAAGAAACTGTTGTTTTGGTTCAACTGAATGATAGCTATAAATATAAGATAATCTACAGAAATAACATCTTATTATAACCTGTTGAAAGGGTTGGTAACTCAGAAACTAAATAGATGGCGTGATCTTCTTTAAATCAAGTAGCAGTATTAGGTCACATGACCAATGGCTTTGGTATATATGGTTTGCACATAGTGTCTGTTTTCAGACCACTGATGCTCTCAGAAG